TACATTGTTCCAAAAGATAAAAGAAGAAACAAAATACAAGTAAGCAAAAGAAAAACATGAAGCTAAGACTCCTCTCCACCAGTTGGTTGAATTTAAAGATCAGATGTTTTTTGAGAAGACATCTCAGCAGCCTTATCCGCCGCGACCTCGGCGTCAATTTTTGCAAGAGTGTTATCAAGGTTCTTATCAGCAAGGGTGGCATCGGCTGATTCCTTCACATAAGCAGCGTCTTTGTTAACCTCGTCGCCTTCTTCATCCTGAGTCAAGTCTAGGACTTGCTCATTCTGAAGAGGGGACTTGGCCCCATCAACATCTTTGGATTTTCTTACCAAAGCCTTATCCTCTTCCTCATCACCATCCTCAGACTCAGATTCGCCGACATCTTGACTTGGAGGTTGAGCTAGAGGGAATGGAAGAGGAATGGCATCAGCTTTCCTCAGTGGTGAGTCCTCTGGGACATTAAGTTTCTTTAGAAGGGACATCCAACCAAGGGTGAAACCTTTGTTTCATGCCTCCTTCACCTGTTGTTCGTAGGCATCTGTGACGTCGGCCATGCCTTGGGCATACGCCTTCTCGTCGGCGTCTTTTATTTCGGCTTCTTTGGTGGCCAATGCCTCCTGAAACTCCTTTTCGGCTTGGACCATTTTTTTCTCGGCTTCTCTCTTCTGAGACTCAGCCACTTTTCTGATAGCCTCAGCAGCCTCAGCCTTCTCTTCAGCATTGGTCTGAGCTTTGATTGCAGCCTCGGCTTGGTCCTCCAATTTTTTCATCTTTGATTGAAGACCTTTGTTGGTTTTTTGAAGAGAAGAGAACTCCCTCTTCATATCAACCAGCTTCTGCCGATTTTCAAAAGACTGAACAAAAAAAGAGTGGGCATGCTGGATGGCCTGAAGAAAACACAAGGTAAAAGTTATTTCAAAATTTTCTAAGTATGAAAAAGAAAAGGAAACGTGCCAGATGAAGGACACTTACTTGAACAGAGCGTTGAAGCATTAACGCATAGTTTTCGTATTCGCTCAACTCGGCGTTTCGCTCCAGATCACCTGGTAACAGCAGAGCAGTGCTGAGCGCAACATCGACATTAATATCTTCGGCACTATCATTTGCCATGACTGGCTTATTCTCTAAAGTAATTTCGGGGGCCCAGGGGGCAGCAGGCTTCTTAAACCCCGAAGTTGTAGCGGATGATGACTTCGGCTTTTTGGATTTTGGGGATTCTGATGGTTGGGTTTTAGAGCGCCTCTTCCCAGCAGACGGTTAAAGTTTGTCACTCTCAGCCAACTTTGAGATAGGCAAGGTATCTTCAGACTCAACCTGAGTTACCTTAGCATTTGGTTGAGCCTTCTTTATTCTTTTCGGCTTCGGCGGAGGTTGGGTTTGTGCTGGTTGATCATCAACAGATGATGAAATGCTGGCCAGAAGGCCTTTTTCAACTGGTCTTGGGCGACCCATCTAGGTAGTAGAGACTGTTCGGCGTCGGCGGCGGCGTTGTGATATTGGAACCAAGTATGGAGCAGAAGTTGACGGTTGCTCAGTTGGATCAGAGGTTGATCCCTGGTCTGTCCGAGATGTGGATGTGGTCTGTGGCGTTGTGGCAGATGGTGGAGAAAGGCTTTTTTTCTTCCTCCTAGGGACGTCGGGCAAAGCAGACCTGTATGTTGGAATAAAGTTGAGGAGCAGAGGCGTCTTTCGTTTGTGAATTGGCAAGTTCATAAGTTTTTTCAAATTCTTGCTGGGATAGAAGGATTGGCGAAAATTCTTTGGAGGTTAAGGAAGAACTGCAAAAGATAAAAACAGCACAGACATTAGAACAGAAAATATTGAAAACTTTATGCAAGAAGATAAAAAGAAACTTAATGAAGGGTGGCCCTTACCAGTTCCTTCCCCCAAAATAGTGCGGCTTAAGGGATAAAGATGGAGGTTGTCATTTGGCTGAAACTCCCAATTGCCCGAGACAATGAAGTAATCGTCTCCAGCTCCCTTGTTGGAGTCTGGGAGGTCGGCTACGATTTTATATTCGGTGGATCTCGGCTTAAGGTAACAGACATAGTCCGTGTCTTTTCTAAGATGACACATGGTATAACAGTATTGGAAGTCGGCAAGTGTAATCCTAGCATTCTCTTGTTTAACTAAGGCTATGGTACTAGTAATAACTCGGTAAGAATTGATGGCGAGTTGCATTGGGTTCAACTTATAGAAGTGAAGGATTTGACGGAAAAAAGGGTCAAGTGGAAACCGAAGTCCACACTCAATAAAGGCAACTACAGGGAAGGGCATGGAGTGATCAGTAGGCATGATGGAGTCATCATCCCCAGCCAACCTCAGATTGACATCGACTGGGATTTCAAACTCTTGCCTAAAAAAGTCTAGCTTAGAAGGGGTGTTTACCCGATATTTCCACATACCCATGATATCGGGATAACTAAAGGTATTGGATTTCAGAAAGAAGATGTTTCAAAAAGGGTTATTGGGACCTCGGCAAAAAACTTAGGTTTGAACTGGTGCAGAAATTTGTAAGGGATGTTTCAGTTTTTCCTAAAATGTGGATTCTACAGACAAATCCCAAACCTAAAGCTATAGAGATGAAGATCAAAGGCACAGATCTGGAAAAGACACAAAAAACAGAAAACAAAGGCGAAGTTTCAGAATCAAGAACAGAGATGGACTATCAAAAACATGAAGAATACAAAGGGTTGAAGGCCAAGAACAGTGGCAAGACGTACAAGAAAACTATGAACAGTACATGTATTCAAGGCATAAGCAGAAAGTAAAATCAACGCATTTAGATGTATGATTCGCAAATTAAATGTTTGAGCAAGGCAATAATAACAGGAAATTTCAGAAAAGATCAAGAACTGGAATAAGACGAAAACAGTTGCTTACCAGAAAATATGAAGCCGGTGTAAAGATCGCCGAAGTCAGACGACGATCGTAGAGGCAACGAAATGGTGTAAAACACGCCGAAAGGGGTGAACGGAATAAGGTTCAGAGCAAGGAAGCTTGAACAATGGCGGACTCGAGAAGAGAAAGTTAGAGAGAGAAAAAGTTTCCTAGAAACAAAAATAAGGTGAAAGGAAAAAAAACGAAGAGATGTTTTGTTAAAAATGAAAACAGCAGCAAAAAGTAATCAATAGGCCTGGAAGAACGTATGCGTCAGACGGCGCACGTAAAAAAGAGACGACTTACGGGCGCGTCACAGGTACGAACCAATAAGAAGGAAACGCATGGTTAAAAACGGTTGAATTATGGTGTATGACAGCTCATACGCGTGAAAGGGTTCTTGAAGTTCTTGTTATTTAACAAAGACATGTCGGCCAAAATAATGATCTCGGCTGAGATACTGAAAACCGACATATTGGGAAAATGAAATGATATAGGTTCCATCACCTCAGAATACCCAGGTAATAGAACCTAGGGGGCAGTTGTGGGGATATATTTTTTAGCACCGACACGTGGCAAGGTCACGCCGACATGTCAGCCGAGGTGTTACGTGTCAGGGTCATAACGCCGAGGTGATCTCGGTCAAGCCGAGATTATCTCCGAAGATATCGGAATCCTAGATAAGTAGATAAGAGATAAGAGACAAGAGTCCTAGAATAAATAGGAGACTTAGCCAAGATAAGGATAAAGCTCTTAGAGAGTTTATCTCTATCTCTAAAGGAGTCCAAGGTAAGTATTAAACAGGAATCCATAGAAGTCAGGCTTCTATTGGGATTAGGATTGAGGTAACTATAAAAGAAAAGCACCCCCGTGGGTCTAAGGTACGCAATTTTATGCGTTGAGCATTGAGTTTAGCATTATTGATTATCTTTGAGAGATATACTGACTTGATCATCGGAGTGCCCCCGGGTGGTCGAAACCACCGCCGGAATCTTCTCTTTCTGTTGCAGGTTAGCCAGGTGTCATCTATTCTGCCAGTGTTCTCCAGCTGAATACTGAGTCGGACAGTGTGATCAGAAAATCACCCACACAGTATAACAGTTTAGTACTTGATGTACAATTAACCCTAGCGTTGAAGCTGGCCTACATGTTGTCTTGAAAGCAAAGCGATTTTTCAATAATTTAAAATGACTTGTTTTCCAATCATCGTTGAAAAATGTTATAAACTTTAAATAATTTATCAAATTTTCTACCAAATCTCAAAAGTGGAACCACACACATGTGGGTTTGTATGGGTCTCACACCCATGTGAGAAGTTTGGTAAAAAATTTAGTAAATTATTTGAGGCTTCTAGCCTAACCCATAATCATTGCCACAGGCACTGTTACATTCTCATAAAAATTAATGTATAGTTTTAATTTTTTTCAAAAAACAAATTGTCTCATGCTCATATTCCTTACCTACCCGGGTTTTATAGTTTTAATTTATTTCAAAACAGAATTGTCTCATGCTCATAATCTTTATCAAAAATGAGTGAGACCCTCACTGGGGGTGACCCCATCACCCCAGTGAATGCTTGGTTCAAATTTTATTTTATTTATTTATTTATTTATTTTTATTTTTTTATGCTCCTCTCTTTGGGGTGGTGGGGTCACCCCCAAGTAAGAGTCTCTATCAGTTTTGTAATCTTTACCTACCTGGGTTTTACCTACCTGGGTTTTAGGTACAAGTATTCTTTTTATTAAAGGTCATTGGAGCTTTTCTTGAGAATGACATATGTTACACTATTATAAATAATCAATCTTTTGAATAATCCAGCCTTTCCCGATAAAAATATTTGCATGCAAGAGCATTCCAATTTCATGTATTGATTTTTGTGTTATTTTTTTCACTCAATATTTTTAGGTTTACAATTTTACAAACATCTGTTAGTTCTTAAATAAGTTTCAGTCAATAGAATGTGGTTAATCTACTATGATAATTCAACTCTATGTAGCCTAAAATAAAATTTCAAACACCATTGCCACATAATTCCAAGAGATTTCCCTCTAACATGCCTATAAGTTAAAAGTAAATGATAAAAACACAAAAATTAAAAACATTCCTCCCCAACTTCCAGATTTTTTAAACTTATTCTGTCTCATAACTTATAAGTATACACTGCAGCAGTATAGAATAAAAAAACAAAAAACAAAAACAAAAACCTATAAGCTGCAAGCTTTGACCAAACAGGACCAACATCATCTAAATGATACATTAAGCTATTCAATCAACATTAATGATGTAATACTTCTACCTTTTTTTCTTTTTTTAATTATTGAGAATTAATTTAAAGTATCTCACTAAACCAATACAGATCTTACTACAGAAAAAAGCTTCTCTGTTTTAACCTAAAAAATTGGTGCATATTAATCTGTACAACACTTCTCCTCCCTACACTATGCTATAATCACTTGAAACACCAATCTGGGGTTGCCCATCATATCCATCATCATCAGTACAGAAATTTTAATCCACTTATTATTCTGAGAAGCTGCTGCAACCTCCCTCCTATCCTTGCCAAAAGTCAAATTAGAAAATATCCAATCTTGATTTCATAGCTGCAATGCTAAATCTGGCTGCTGCGGTGAACCGATACGAAAACTAGAAGAACTAGGCGAGCCCGGTCCCTGGAATCTTACATTCAGGTCAGGTGGTACCGGAAGAGAATACTGTCGATGTTGCCAAGGTTGCACCCCAGAAAGCGCTGCCACTTCAGGTGTACTTCCAGGATTTTCTGGCAACTTGGGTTCTGAAATTGTTTGGTTTGCCACCATTGTAGGAGTCAACGATGACAATGTGTTGCTTCTGGAAACCACACCGAGCATTGGAGAAGGCACCGAAGCCTCTTCCAACCCAGACCGAATTGTTGGCATTGTTCTTACCATCCCCATTTGAGACGAAAGATCATAACCCGACACACCATTCAAACCATTCCTACCAGGATTTAGCATGTGTTTCTGCTGAGCGTGGAAGGAAGTTCCAGGGCTAATGGAATTTTGTCCACTGACCGCTTCAGCCATTTCTTCTTTACGAGGCAAAGAAGACCTGTGCGTGCCCACAGAATTGACTGACATGGTTATTGGTCCAAGTGAATGCCCATCATGCGCTGGGTTATTTGAGGATCTCTGCTCAGGTAATGTAGATGGTGGCTGTGGTAATGCATCATTTTCTCCTACCCATCCAGGACCAAACTTTACTCCATTAGGCAAAACACTCTCAATTTTCTTGGAAGCGATTTTCCAAACAGCGGGCGCAAGATTTGCAGCAAATCGAGCTAGGCTTCTCGCATAACCATGCTCCGAATGTAGACCCACCTGAATTTGGGGGTAAAAAGGGGAAACAATGGTTAGTGCATTTAGGTTACCACATATTCTCCAAAGGCCAAAAGATAAAGATAAACAGTAATTCAGCACAATACACGGTGTTAAGTCACCAACTGCACCCAAAGCTTTAAGTTGTTAGTAAATTAGTCCAACAATGTATATTAAGCTAACCTAACACCCCCTAAAACTTGTCCAACATTGTTGGGCCCATTTTCCTAACAGTTCATGCTTTTGGAATAAATCCTGGATCTAACCTATGGTGAACACCAGATCATTATTCAATGAGAAATTGTCATGACAATCAATTGTGTAATACACATATTTTTTCCCCGTCTGCATATCTCCAAATGTAAATTCCTAGATTCTTCAATAATATGAAAAAAAACATATGATATAATAAAGATTGTGTAGCCCAATAATTTTATAGGTCTCCCAAAACAATCACTACACAAAATAATATCTTTTTTAGGAGGCACAAGGTGGTCTTGAACCCATCATCTATCAATACTAAAATACATAAATAATAGAAGACATTTGAACACTGGTGCTTGAGAAAATACATGATTATCTTTTATCACAACGTAGTTCCAGCTCCCAACTACAACCCAAATACGTAAAATAACTTTCTCACTATACATACCCCCATTAATGGCTTCATGTCTCCATTGAGGGTAGTCAATACAAAAGTCTCATTCCCTGAAGGATGGAATTGTTTGTAGGTGGCACGCCTGTTCTCATCTAAGGAAAATTGTTTCTTCCCATATTTCGCCTCAGCCTTCAAAATAGACGCTGCAAACCAGAATAAAAAAGGTCTTTACATTACATACAGAGGGGCCAGAGAATTAAATTTAAAATTAACAGAACAGACAGTGTTTGAGGTGAAGCACAACAGGAGATTAAAGTCCCATACCTGGAAATTCACTATTCCATTCAGATGACAAGTCAACATATGTTTCATTATTGCGAGATTGGTGAGAGGTCCTTAACAATGCATCATTGGACCGAAACCTGAATGGTGAAGGTCCTCTTCTCAGATTGAAAGAGTTGGGCCCAATCACATTATCACCACCAGTAGCAAGAGTTGCATCAGAGGAAGACTCAGGACCAACACGCTCAAATGGAGGACTGCCAAAAGACTTCTTCGAATTCTTGCTAGGTGGTCTGCCTCTCCTCACAATTTTTGGTTGTGGTTCACCATCATCATTGACTTGTCTCAAATTTTCAAAGTCCCTTTTTGCCAGCTCTTGTATGGACCGGGCCTACAACAAATACCAGTATTACAAAGAAGAATAAAAGTAAACCGAATCTGCAAACCTTGGAGTGTGTCCAGAGGTGGCCATACCTGTCGAAAGTAAACGGTATCTGAAGCATTATACAACATTGCATTTGAACATATCAAGAAAACATCTGCCTGCAGAATTAAATAGGACAAAACCCTTAAAAACCAGCATCCAATATTTTTGCGACAGTTGAACCAAAATCTGAAAAAACCAAGTCCAACTCGATTGTGGAAGGTATCATGATGAAGATGTTTTTTTTAAGAGAGAAACCAGTAGTATAAGTTCACAGAAGAAACAAAAGCATCAGATATTATAAGTTCTGGAACATTATTTGATTATTATGAGATAACAATAAAAAAATATACTCATGTCATCCATTTAAATTTTATTATCATACACTGAACCCAAATCACAACTTTATAGTTTCATCCCTCAAGCACATAGAAGGGATATCTCATATCATTGGCAAATTCACCTAAGATATTCAGGCATTTCTCAAATCATAATTTAATCTAGTGGTGCTAATAAGATGGCTAACACAAACAATATATTCATATGTAAGCATGTGTTGTCGAATTGCGATACATATCATGTACCATTGTCTTAGTTTTATGTAGAATGTAGCGCGTTTTGTAAGCGATATTAACATATATGAATATACGTTGAAAAACAAATAACTATCATAGTATTAAACATGACCAAATATACTACAAAAATAAAAAGTAATTAGTCTTGTATAACCAACGCCATAATAAAATTATGGTTGAAGAGACTAGTAAAAAAAACCTATTCAAGAAGAGGTAATCGCATACATTCATTAATAAGAGACCAAGTATCAGGGAAGGGGAAAAAAAATAAAATAAAATAAGACTGAATATGAAATACATTAAATAGAACAAATTTATGGCAATAAGTAAAAAAATCAAACTATAATCTATATTAAAAAAAAAAAAAATTGAGGATCTATACTTCCAAATTTCCAACAATGAGTTCTATAATGGTTTTATTCTTGAAAGTAAAAAAAAGGCCTTTGATAGTATTTATTTAACAAAATAAGCAACAAAAAAAAAGGTGCTTTTTTGCAATTGGGCCCAACTAGACACACTTGAGAGAGTCCATTTTTGGTTTCAAGATGTGGAACTAGAAACTAGGGATCAATAAGATCGGAATAAGATCACATCCGGACATAAGATCTAGTCTGGCCAATAATTACGTGTTTTACAATCCAGTTGCTAAAACCCTTAGGCTCCAATGTCAAGATCACACTTTTAAAATCCAACAGTATAATAGAGTAGCCCCTCTCCTCTTCCTTCAAATCTCCAAACAACCTTTGTAAGGATGCGAGAATCATCTGCCTCTTTTCAATTCATATAAATTTCAAGTGCACTACCACTAAAATTTCACACTCTAAACTCTCTGCTTCTCTCTCTCATGCATGATCCGGCAACGGAGAAAACTGTTATGGCGATAGGGATGCTGAAAGCTACTATCTGGTGAAGAAGAAGAAGAAGAAGATGGTAAAGGTTAGAACAGTTGACTTATTTAATCGTATAATTCATCTCGAATCATGATACATTACCATATTGGACTATTCAAGTTTTTGAAAAATACAACTGTGCGACTTCTTACCTATTTGCACAATATGATACGAACTGCACAATACATATCATGTATAACACGATTCTAATAACACACTATGAAACTATTTCTCAATGGACAAGTTAGCGCGACCACAAGCCCCTTCCTTATACAAGTGTGTCATTCACACACCAAGCACTGATATTAGTCTTTTCTGACAAAAACATCTCTTTCAAATTTTCCCTTTATTTTTTCCATATAATGACTACCATATTAGACTAGATTGACAAAGATTATTTCATCAAACCAGACCAGTCACAGGGTGCAAATCAAAATTTGTAATCTAGCAAAAATTAACATTGCTTTCGTGCGTACAATGACAGGGTCGCTTGCAGAACACAAATAAGATTCATCCACAACTAAGAAGATTTTAATAGAGAACCTGCTATTCCCCTGAGTGGGTAACCTAGTTTGCAGTGGGTTTGCTCTCCACATAACTCAAGTTCGATTCTTGACCCCTCCATTTGTCCTGATCATGCTGTCGCTTGAGATCCTCGGGTTCAATTCTTGTCAACACTTTATTATTATAAGAAGATTTTAAATTGATTTTAATTCCTATAAACTAGAAGGAATGTCAGCAGCCTTCATGCCATGCTGAAAATATGACCAGGAACATTATAAAATTTACCAACATGGCTTGCACAGGTTAGCTTGAAGAAATGTCAAGAAAATTTCACCAAAGCCCATGTAGAAAAGGTCTCCCTTCTGTACATTGCTTTATAGGAACCAGTCCATGAACTACTGCAGAAGATGTGATCAATAATCCACATAGACTATTCAGGAGTCAGGTCCACATTATGGACTTCTGCCTTCAAAAATGGCAGTGAATTGGTCACCCGAAAAAGCCATAACCATCAAGATCCTTCTTGCAATGGTCATCTGACGACCAGATTGGATTGAATACCTTAAGAAGGAAGAAAAATGGTGGAGTGTTTCATGCCAAAAGACTCATTGAGAGTCATGTGGTTGCCAGATGCATATTATATTATCACAAAAATAGGATTAAACAATGACTACTACAACAACTCCATCAAACTTAAATTAAACAATCTTAAAATGACTTACTCCTAGGAATGAAATCCATTGTCAAAAAACTGTGTTAAATTCAGATATATTAGTGTCGTATAAAAAATGGATTTCCTTTGCTGAAAAACAAACGACTCCACTTAATAATTCCATGATCTTTAGTTTAGTACTGATTCTTCAACTTAAAAGGTTTAGAACCAACAGATTTCTTTGTTTGTCCCTTTCAACTTCTTCAGGTGAAATTCAAGGCACGTGTACAGTGTCTGCTTCAATCAGGACTTCAAGGTAACATTCACATAAATAATGCTTACTTAGACTATTTAGCAAGAGTAAAAATTGAAGGTTAAACTAGACCAATTATCACAATTAAGTATGCATGAAAGTCAATTGGAACATTCATATCAAACTGAAGGTTTAAATTCTGCTGTCCGTCTGTTCTGGTCATAAAGTGTTAATGGGATCATTGGGATGTCAACAAAACTCAAAGCATATAAAAATCTCCTATTGCAACCAGGATCCAACAGAAGAAAGCATAATTCTCTTCTGCCTCAGCCCATCCTCCAAAACTTGAGTGACTTTGGCCATTATCTTCTACAGACAGAAACTACAGGCTGTAAGTACGCACGACAATTGATTGGAACATACACATCAAAATGAAATCTTGATTCCCAGTCCATCTATTCTGGGCATACAAGTGTCACTGGGATGTCAACAAGACTCAAAAGCATATAAAAAATCACATACTGCAACCCAGATCCAACATGATAAACAAAAATTCTCTTCACCCTCCTCCAACACTTGAGTGATTTTGGACACCATCTTCTAGAGACAGAACTACAGTCTGCAGACTGTAGGTTACAAACTGAGTTCTCAAATCTCCTGGCATTACTCATTTATGCAATTATTTTCCAGAAAACATGGGAAATTTTGAACAGGGTAGATTTTCACATCACATGGCCTTATATGTTCCAACATTAATTTCCAGTTACCATTTACATCCCGGCATTAGTAACTAATGTATTTCTTGGTAAGCATGGGAAATTTTGAACAGCGTAGATTTTCACATCACATTGCATTATATATTACAACATTAATTTGCAATTACCATTTACACCCCAGCATTAGTAATTTCTGAGTATGCTAGAACCACTGACTCAACAATATTAATCAAAACAGTAATTTCCAGTTACCAGTTTCAACCACAGATTAGCAATTAATATCTTTGGTTAAGCACAAGCATGAAATTCAGAGTCATTGAGTTCAGGGGTTAGCACTTACCACTTGAGGAAAAAAACCATAAAAGAAGAAGATGGATATGAAAACGTTTGGTGCGGCCGACATGTGATTTTAAAGACACCCATGGATTGTCAAAGCACAAGAAAAATATCTTGTATTTAATCCATACACTAACCATGCACTATAGTAATGACCTTGAGAGAAACAAAATACAGTAACTAACAAAACCAGAAATCAGCCCAGAGCTCAAAACCAACCTGAAACTCATCCAAGTTGGAATAACGCCCCTCCTCTAGTTTCTTCCTGACGGTTCGAAAATCCATTGGGCGCTGAATAATTTCATGGTAATCAGGAAGCTGCATAAAGACTGTTTCAGTACCAATTTAACAAAAGGGCCAATTAAGAATCATCATTATATATGCAACATTTTCCAAAAGAAGCACCTCGTTCGGATCAGCAGGTTCTGAGAAGGCCCCATAAGTGTCTTTCCTGCAGTTGAAGTTTAAAGAGGCAATCAGCTTACAATAATCAAAAACCCAAATAGAACAGTACAAGGAAAAAACAAAAAAAGAAAATCTAAGAAGCTAGAAAAGAAAGCACACACTTTTGAAGCCTGTCAAGAATGAACACCAACAACTTTTTGTCTGGCAAAGGTGTTGTGGGTCCGGAGTCCAAGGGCGACCCTGTCCACAAATAAATCAAAAAATTAGATTAAAATAAAAATTTAATTACTGGGAAATCTCAACAAAACTGCCTTTAGTTCAAGGATGGATAATTTGATTGGAACCATTTAGAGTGTCCGTCGCTTTCTGACCCTTTTCAACCTGCCAAAAAAAATAATAATAATAATTCAGTACCAGTGATTGGGTTAGAAGAAAAATTTTAGAAAAATAAAAACAAGCAGTTAGTTATTGAAGATTCATCATTCAAAGAAAGTTACAGTAAAAAGTCCACAAGAAATAGATAATTGAACAGCGACAGAAGAACAAGTACATGATAAAAATTAACTGAGAATAATTAAAGAAAAGACAAATCGAAACTTTTTTCAAGACATGATGGTGTGTGCGTATACATATTCTCTGCTGCATATAAATAAAAAGATAGATTGATGATTGAATACAAACAATCAAACAATAAAATAATAATAATAATAATAATAAGTATTAACTATATCTAGAAGCAGAAATCTAAAATTCAACCCAGATTACAAAAAAATAAAAAAAATAAAAAAATATACGTATGACCGAGTCAAACCACATATATATGCACTCAGTTGTGATCTAAAAAAGAAGGTTAGAATTACGGCGCGAAATTCCAAAGAATTTAAATCAGTCTAGAAACTTCAACGCAAACAGAAAGAAAAAAAAATTCAAAAATAGAAAATGAAAAAAAGCAAGGATCTTTTTCGATTCGCCAAAAATAGAAAAGTCAGAGAGAAGCAGAATTTAAAAGTTGTTGAAATTAACGGATAAAAATCTCATCACCTGATCAGCAGGAGGAGGAGGAGGAGGAAGAGGGAGGTCTCCACCAGATCTGTCTCCGGCGATTTTAGGTTTCTTGAGAGAAGCCTCGTGACTCTCGCAATCGGCATTAGAATCAGCCGAATTCAAGGATCTAGGTTGAGAGTAATGGTGATTCGAAGGGGGCAAACGAACCACAAGCTTCACCTTTTTCTCTTTGCGCTCGTCGTCATCGTCGTCGTCGTTGTCATCCTCGGAGGAGGCCGGAGATACGCCGGCGAGATTAGGGTCTCGGCGAGTGGATCGACGATTTGGGGGGTTGGAATTGGGGGTAGAAGAAATTAGGGTTTGTTGATGGTTGTGATGATGTTGGTCTTGTTGTTGTTGTTGTTGTTTGAGATTGCGTTTTTGGAGATCTAAGAGAGAGGGACGTCCTTTCTTCTTCTTCTTGGTGTTCCTCATCTCCGACGCAGCTACCTTACCCATTCTCGGCACTTCTTTCTCTCTCTTTCTCTTTCTCTTTCTCTCTCACCAAACGGGCGTTAATTATTATTTTTAGTATTTTGTTTTTGTTTTTTTTAATTCTACGCTAGGAATGTGGGGCTGGAGTTCACACGTGAGAGTCACACGGATTGAATCCATTACAAGCAACTATCAATAAATTTTAATAATTTGACTTAATTTTTATAACATCTTATTAAAAATAAGTCTTAATAAAATTATCGTTAAAAATCACTTTACTTGGTTTTAGTTTTTCAAAATACTTTTTAGAAAATTCTATTTTCTTATTTTTTGTGTTTTTTTATTTTTATTAAATTTTTTTAATATTTTAAGCAATTTTTTTACTTTTTAGACACACCTAACATAAATACACTTAAAAAGTAAAAAAAATTGTAAATTTTTTTTTAAAAAAATTCACTAAATACAAAAAATATAAAAAAATACAAGAATTCAGTACATTTTTTATATTTTTATGTATTTATTAATTTTTTAAAATATTTTTTCACAAATTTTTTTTCTTTTTAGATACATCTAAGTAAGGAGCATCTAAAAAAGTAAAAAAAATGTTTAAAATTTAAAAAATATTCACTAAAACCAAAAAACACAAAAACCAAAAAAGTCAATTTTCAAAAACCTTAATTCAGAAAACTCAAACCAAACACATTGAATAATTTTTTATGATGATTTTTTATATATCTAACTAAAAATTAACAATTAATTTTTTTTTTGCCACGATTATTATAAATTGTAACTAAAAACTTACAATTAAAAATATTTTTTTCGACAAATTTTTTAAATTGTCACTGAAAATTAAAAATTAAGTGACTTTATTTTGTAATGATTTTTTTAAATTATCGCTTAAATTTATGATCAGTAATATTTTTTATGATAATTTTTAAATTATCACTAAAAATTAATAATTAGTAACTTTTTTAATAGTGTATGATGAAAAAACGTTAATAATTATCATATGACCTATTACACAATAAGGCTAAGTTTAGCAACTCAAAAATAATCTAACTTTTTATTTTTTTATTTTTTTTTTCATCACATTATCTCTTTATTTTCTGCACATCTTTTCATAAAAAAAAATAAAAAATATATTTATTTAAATCATCCAAGTAACCCCTAAGCCTACCTATTAAAATATACACGCAAGTCCTCTCGAATGACAGAGATGATACATCATTGTTTTTTAGAAAATTACATACAGATGAGGGAATGAAAAAAGAAATTACCAACACATCAATGAATATAAGTGATACTTATGCCCCCCAGAGTCTTTCATTGGCATTAGGGGTGGGCGCGGGTCGGTTGCGGCCACGAAACTTCCAATCCGCCATCCATCCGCCAGATTGACGAATTGAAGAAAATCAATCCGCATCCGTCCACCAATCCGGCAGATGTGGATTGAGCGGATTGGCGGATGGATGTGAATCGATTTGGCGGTTTAAAATTTTATAAATTTTCAACATAATTCAACTTATGCACTTAATACAAAAAATATAAAAAAAGTCAATGATTTTAAAAAATATTACAATCACTACATGTCTCATCAAAGAAAGAAAGTAAGAAAGTTTGAAACTTTAGAATATTACGATCACTGTATGCTTCATCCACATATTACAATTACAGCATGATTCATCCCTATAAAGTATTACAATCTGTGATTCTTAAAATATAATAACAATTCAAACCACCAAAACCATGAACAGAGCAGTAGTAGAGATTCAATGTCTCTGTATTGTTACATCTACATATGTTTTTGAAAACAAAAACCAACCAGCATATATCATATTTTCTATTTATTATTTTTAGAGTTAGATTTAAAAACTAAAAAATATAGATGAATAATACGTTTATTTTTTTCAGTGCAAAAAATATATTCAAGTTGAAAACTTTTTTTCAATAGAATATTTAAATTCTTTTTTAATTGAAAACACAAACATAATATTTAAACAAATTGAAAATACAAAGTCTTATAAATTATTATGGGTGCTTGCGATTTGGCGGTTTGGCGGTTCGGTTGCGGCCAAAAAATCTCAAATCCGTCATCCGTCCGCCAAATTGGCGGATTGGAGAAAATCAATCAGCAACCGTCCGCTCGTCATCACGCATCCGTTCAAAATGCGGCGGATCGGTTCGGTTCGGTCGGTTTTGGCGGATCGATATATCCGCTGCTCACCCCTAATTGGCATTCCCCAACTAGCAGTTTCCTTTGTTTTTTCTTATTTAGAAAGTATTATGAATCTCACATATCATATCAACATCTTAAATAGATATGAGATTTATATTAACATCTTAAATAGATATGAGATTTATATTATATGAATCTTATATTTATATAAAATATTTGAGAAAATTATTAGTAAAATATTTGAACTTCTTAACATTATTCTTTTTTCTTTTTTTTTTTTGAAAAATACTTGATAATTTGAATTTGTATAGTCTGAATAGTTCGAAGGTATGAAAACAATATCGTTTTACTTTCAAAACGACATTATTTTGAGACATTTAAATCGTTCGGCATGAAAATTTGATTTTTTTTTTATTTTTTTTTTATTTTTTTGCAGTAGAGAGAGTTCCAAGTTTTGTTTGTGTTGTCAGTGGTTTTATTTGACACGCGATAGTCGTTGGGTGTGATGTGTACGCGTCTGAATCCTTTGAAGCCAAAAGGCTGCATTTCACGTGTCGACCTGAAGTCTATGGCTTAAAAATTTTAACACGTTGCATTATCATTTAATAATAAATTATTATATATTTATCTCATAATTATTATATGATATATATTTATCTCATAATTATTATATGATTTTATCATTAGATTTACTAATTCCTTCCCAAATAATAGTGTTTTTTTTTTTTGGTGGGGAATTTAATTTTTTTGTTTTTATCATTATTATATTCTAAAAATAATAATTTTTTTAAATTATCATTTGACTTTTTTAAAAAAAATATCAATTATCATAATTAATGAATTTAAAATAAAGATAAAATAGAAAATTTATATTATTTTAACCTTTATTTTTTAAAAATTGATTAATATTTTGAGACAATAAAAAGTAGCATAAAGGATCAATGTTTTGAGACGTATGGAGTATAATTTTTTACGTAAAAATATACAAAAAAATAAAACAAAAGATATGCAAAAAAATAATGTGATAACTTATAATAATATTTTAACTAAAAACCTCAATTACCAGACGTATACATATTAAAGTGATACTTGATAACTTAATTTATTTATTTTTTAAATTTAATATATTAAGTGAAAATCAAATAACTCGTTTGATAAGCACCATGAATTTTACTTATAAATTTTAAGTGATTCTTACCATATAAGTTAAAAGCTAGTAAAATTTAAATAGATAAAAAATAACTTATTGACTAAACTTATAATTATTTTACATTTAATATTGACATATACCGTTATGATCTTACTATCGTTGTTAGTGCCACCGCCCTTATCACAATCACTGCCATCGACACCACCATTACAATTACCACCATCTTTGCCACCATTACCTTCATCACGAGAAGCACTGTCATCATTTCACTATCTGTAACGTCCCGAAATAATTCGATATGAATTATCCATACTAATGAACATTCACCAAACTATGGCAAAAATCCTTCCATCATCACATATATAATAACTGAGTTTAACACAAAAATTTCACATGCGGCATACATTAACAACATAAAAGGATACATGAATCCATAGCATGTAGAATATCTAAATCCTGAAACAATAAAGTGCTCTTAAGGGCTTACATCTTTCAAGGCAATAGCCCGGTTACACAAAATGGTCTCTCGGACCTATACACATTAGCCCTTAGCTTTACAAAATTCACAACAAAAATAAAAGAGTTATTTACTCTTCGCAAAATATCCGCGCCCTCAATTTGGTGGGGTCATCATATCTTTACCTGCACCAAATCTCATAGGGGTGAGCACATAGCCTAGTAGAGAATTCTAACAAAGTATATACAGTTATGCAATTCTCAATGAAAATGCAAATGTCAATGCCATGCCATACTCTTTTAAGGAAATATTATTTCATACTCTTTGAAGATTTGAATTTTTCAAATAAAATCTTGCAATCTCAACACATTTCAAACTTCCAATTTTAATCAACAGAAAGGCGGTAAATACGACACTAGTAATCCCTAGACTGGTGTCTACAAGTAGACTCTGCGAGTACTACCAAACTATCATTTTTACCGGTATTAACCGGAAGGCTCGACACCTATTCGCGCAGTTTTCTGGTCTTTCACCATGGACACTTAGGCCAACTTATCAAATTCATCTACACCCCCTAACCGGACTTACCACCGTATTTACCCCATATACATTTCCATAATTCATATCACAACGTTATTTTCTTTCATGAAATAAATATCTTCAATCAGAATTTACAATGCAAAAATAATGATTGAATGAATATGCAATGCAATGATTTTCCATAACTCATAACATTTCCCTATTTCCAAAGTCTCTACAATAACGTCAACAATCACATTTTCCATTACCTCTTTTCAATGCTCTTTCCCCAAGATAACCACATGTTATCTACACTTAGCCACAAGTTCACCTTTCACAATACTTAGCAACATAGTCTCACCAAGACTACATGTAATGTTTTTCAAACATTAATTCTCACAATTCATAATGCACAACAATTATCATTTCACAATTAAATATTTGTCATGCATCTAGCAACAACTTAAAAGTAAATCCTCCATTTACTTATATCAAGGAGATTACCACTTCTCTTATCAAGACGTGAATTCCACACTCACTCATCCATTTTGGCACAAGAAAATAAGTTTATTCCATGGATTGACCATGTTTTCAAAAAGCCCCAATTTTCTTGGTTTTCACAAAAACCCAACATTGTTCATCTTTTTTATAAAAATCTAATCATACACTTCAATTCTCAACTCATGTTGTCCAAAATTTCAAGAAAATCTCTAAATGAACACAAAATAGAGTTTGTTTTACAAAAATCATCAATCCCTTGAGCCACCAAACCCATTTTTGAAATTTTCA